AAATCATACGCACGATATACATGCATTTGTAGCTCATAGTTTCAAATTAAAACTTTAACAAAGTAAACTAAGCTTTAAGAGTTTGAGAGTTTGGATCATATTCTACCATTTGGTAAAAATATATGAAATATTAATTTTTATATTAACCCTCTTCCTAAGAATCATTCAAGCAGATGGTTTTTCCTCATACTTTTACAGATAATTTAAAAACATGTTCTTTAAATATGTCAGTTACCGGTCTTAAAAGTTGTTAAAATTTTATGATTTGGAATATTTGCACCTGCTAAGATCCTATCAGTAAAACACAATACACGCTCAATTCTGTTGTCCAGAAAAGTTTCGCAGGTGCTTTATTCCTCTATAATTTGGTAAGCACGTTTTAACTCAACTGTTTGTCTTCTGAGTTTAACTTAATTTAATTAAGTTAAACTCAGACGACAAACAGTTAAGCTTAATTTGCAACTAAAATCTTTAGAAAACAAAATGAAATGCCCTTGAGAGATACAACTAAAGTTTTCAGAGAATTTTATTAAAATAAAAAAATTTATGGAAATATAACTGTCGAAAAAATTAATATTCTTGTGTTAGAACTAAAAATAAATGTTTCTGAAAGAAGGAAATTGGAAGAAAATATAACAGTTTTCGAAAAACCCGCTTCAAAGAGGTTGCGCGATTAGGGCGAATTATGCGGCGATTCAAATAATACTTTACTAAAGTTTCTCACTGAGTGCATTGCATTAAATCCTTCTACGAATTGACCTATGCTAAAGAAAAAAAAACTAATGCTAAAAGAAATAACATTGCGGATGAATATAAAAGGCGGCTGTTTTTCAAAGGAACGTCTGCAGAAATTTAAATAATGCCACAGTATATCATATCATAAGACGTGAGCCCAAAATTGTCTAAGCTGAGTTTGCTGAAGATTCAAGATTCAAAGAAATGTACGAATATCAGCTAAAAAAGTCCTTTGCAGTGTTGAATGGAACCAGTCTTTACTTTCTTTTCATGCATTCAAAATGCATTCAAAATTCTAAGATATTCAGTATCATAGTCAAAATCACTTCACTATTTTGCTCTGATCAAATACTGATGAAACGAAAGGCGATATCTCTACTCATAAGAATATCACAAAAACCAAGCTATTTCAAGTACTTAGAGTATAGAGTGAATAAAAAAGGGGAGGGTAATTGCAAATATACCTACAGAATGCCTCAAGAAAATCATTAAGACATTAAGGCCTTCTTGAGTTAATAAGGCATTAAGAAGAAAAATTCAAGCCATTGTCAAGGCATTAAGGAAGAAAAAAAGGCTTTTCGTAAAAATTGCTTTTTTTATATTATGCTATATGATTCTTGCGATTTAAAATAATTAAAAATTTGAAATTATTCGGAAGTGTAAATATTATTTTGACAAACTTAAAGTAGAATGTTGAAATTGTGTAAAGCAATAGTACAATGATAAAACTGTGGAAAACAGTGGAAAATTGTGAATATACATATCATTCTAAATTTAAATGTCGATTATATATCTTTCTCATTTATATATACACTGCCTTACAAAAGTTAAGGCACAGAATGTTTTTCAAAGCTCATCATTACAAAAATGTCAGTAACATTTAAAGTCACAATTTATATCCCAAGTAGCACACGACGTTGCAAACTGGTCCGAGAGGTTGCAAAGTGGTCATGGTAACTTCTACGACGTCTTTATAACGTTGCGACGACGCAAAATATTTGCGGTTGCATCTTGGCAATTTGACGACGTCGCTGAAACGTCATGATATGACCGCTTTTAGACGTGCTCGTTTTAGCAAATTTTCTCATAATTCATCAGCGTTATTTTTAGAATGAAAAGAGACTAAATCTGCCCTTTCAAGAATCTGAAGTCCGCATAAGATTTACTTTGCAATGTTTCATTACTTTATTTCATCTAAATATATTAATCTAAGGTAGATTCATCTAATGAAATATAAATTTAATTTAAATACTTTTGAATTATTAAATTTAATTAGTACGTGCTAAATTATTGTTTAAAATTTTGTTAAAATAATTAATACTTAAAATATTTTTTTATAAATATTACAGCAAAATATTTAAAAATGAAACTAATCTATAAAGTAAGTTATTAAGTTATGCATCTTATATATTTTAAAAAATCATGTCCGAAATCAATGCAAATCACATATTAGCAATTACTTCACGACTGAAATATAACTTTATTTATTATTTTTGAAGTAAGGACGAATTTATTTGAATAAATATGGTGACAGAACGGAAAAATTAATGAAAAAAGAGAAAGAAATATTAACACTTTTCATGGAAAACAACAAAATTAATCGATTTGCTATATTACTAATAAATGTTGGCATAAAAATTAGAGAAACTGTACATTGCTCTTCAACCGGTGACATTCCATGTACATTATTTACTTTACTGGATGCTTATATAAGCGAAGTCTCGATGTTTTGCGCCCTTTGGCTAGCTGCCAAATTCGAAAGTTCGAAGAATTGAACTGCGCAGTTACTTGAAAGCTAGACTTTCTAAGAGTGACGAATAGCGGTAAACGGAACGGAAAGATTCCAACAGTTCTTTCAAGTAATTTGGTAACAAGGTGTCATCTGTAAGGCATTTGAAAAGACTGACTTGACTTTATGTGTGAAATTGAATTAAGCAATGACTGATATAAATAATATTGCTTATATTAAAAGTAAATATAATGCACTGTCAATCAAAGAACGCACTGTGGATCTTCTCATTGTTCTGTCCCTATCTACTTACTTCAACTGCCTTTAGCGAGTGAATTTGCATTGCTGTGAGCTCCTGTTTTGAAGCCTCTGAATTGAGGAAAAATCATCGTGAGAATGTGGAATTTTTGCTTCTTTTGGTTGTGAATATGTGCTCTACAAGAAGACACCAAAATTTTGGATACATCATTTACAAAATATTGAATGTAACGAGCTACAATACTAATCGGGAATATAGTGTTCGTGAAATTGTGTTCTGTTTTGGTGTTTCATGTGTTGCGGCTGATTAAAAAGTTATATGGTGGTTTGTGCCTCGGTTAAAACGTCTTAAGTGCTATATCGTATATTATGCATATTAATGGATTATTGTGTTCATATTGAAAGGTTTGTTCTCAGAATTAATTCATATAAAATCAAAAATAACATACAACAGTAAAGCACTTTCTGGTTTTGCTGCAAATGCAATCAGTGCAGAAGCAACAACAATTCAAGCTGTTATGGTATGTTCATTATTTTCAAAATACACCAGTACTTAATATGACAGCTGAAGATGAATTAGATATATGTAACAGCAAGAAGCAATATATAAAAATTAATAATAATGCACATTTTATAAGTATGTTGTCTTTTGTATAGTATGCAGAAAAGGTTAATGATTTTAAAAAGTGTATGTAATGTATGATCGAAAAAATAGTGTTAAAGAAATATTAGTATTTCTATAAAATATTGTAATCTATAATTATGTGATATTTAATTGTGTAATATTAAAAAACACTAATAATTTTATTGATTGCAAATTGAAGTTTTATTAGTTATTTATTAGTTTTATTAGTTATTGATTGCAGTTTTATTACTTTTCGTTTAGTATCTATTCTTCCAAACACTTTTTTTTTTTTTTTTTAAATATTGCCGTTATTGTACACTGGTTATCATAAATTAAGGAAAAGTCACAAAAATAGCGATAACTCCCTCAAAAATAAGCCAAACCGTGTAAAATTTGAATATGTTGCCAAGTAAGAGTAGCTGAGTAAAACTGCGATATGCAAATTAGTGGCGCTGCTTTCGGAATACGTCATCTGCGAGGAGTATAAAAGTCCATGTTTGAGAGCAAGCCCACATATTTCACTGTGACAGTGACATCAAAAACTAGTCCATCAATTCGTAACAATGACCTCCAGGCATCATTTGCCTGCAGAACTGCGATGGAGAGCCATTAGAAGACTAGAGGCGAGACAAAGTCAAACAGAAGTGGCTAGATGGCTAAATGTGAGTCCTTCTGTGGTTCATAGACTTTGAAGGCAATTTCAAACAACAGATTCGGTATCTAGGAGCTTCAGCCAAGGACGGCCAACTGCTACGACGAGCGCCGATGACCGATATTTGACATTATGTGCACGCAGGAATAGAACCGCTACTCCGACTCTTCTTAGATCCTCCCTTGCCGACTAGTTTGCAACGTCGTGTGCTACTTGGGTAACTTTTTGGAGGCAGTGTATTTTCCAAACGGCCCACTGAAAGAGGAATTAACGGCATTTTCTCTTTCAACGGTAACGGTAGAGGTAATGGTATTTTCTCTTTCAACGTAGTAGGGAGTTTCAAAGACTCCGCGAAGAATAATGTAATCTTTCAAAAGAAATGCAATTTAAATATATAAAATAAAATTAAACAAAAATATATACGAATAAATATGCTTTAAATACTCAGTCCGAATGAAAAATAGAAATTTTTAAAATGATAATTAGAAGAAATATATTTCAACCACGTAACTCAAATAATTAAACGAACATTCTCAAACATAAAGAAACATCTAAAAATAATGTTAAGTAAAAATATTTCCAGAAAATAGAAACGCGACTTCTTTCTGTACGTGCGGAATGAATCTGAAAGTGAAAAGGTTAGTATAATTTTGGTTTACCAAGTGCCAGTTTACCAAGTTACTCTTGGTGGAAAGTGAATAAATTGCACCAAATTTTCTTCTCGAAGTTTTCTCACGAAAGTTATGAAATTTGTCTCCCGGTCATAATTTAAAGCGTAGTATCAAAATATGGGGGAAAATCCTGGAACGTCATTTAAAAGAAAGTACTATTTTGTGTCAAAACAACGTACGTTAGTTATCCTAACTCACGATTTCGAGGCATTAAAATCGAAAATTAAAATTCTCCAACGGTCAAGTAGAACGGGAGATTGCAAACTGTCCCAATTTCTTTTTAATCTAGGTACGTACAATTATAAAGTATTTTTAATTAAATTCACTTACTTCTTACACTTGTAAAAGTAAGCTGAAATCCATCGTACGGAAAGGTACTACCGCCGCGTGTATGGCTGAACATCACTATCAGTGTGCCACTTGAAGCATAGACTTTCTTTCTCTCATACACATCTTCTTCTCGACTGCGATATGTAAACTGGTTACACGCGGATATCTCATTGGAAAGATGACTAGGTTCATAGAGCTAAAAACAATAGTAATGAAAAGCAATATTATTGTGTTTTATTATGATAATATGATTTTACTACATTTGATATATTTCTTATATAAATCAATATATACTTTGTCACAATAAGTATCGGATGTAGACAACTTCACAAATTACATACAGTAAATCCTTGCAGAGCGCGTATTTGCGAAACGCAATCTTCTCGATATACGCTATTTTAATTTTTCCATTTATTTTGTTCAACGCTAGAATTTCATGCATACGTGGTTCAAAGTTCATTCATCAGCATTCAAAGTTTACTGTCATCAACTCTGACCAAAGTGCCGTAAGTAGGGTACGCAGCCCCTGTAACAAGGGCCAAACTTGCGTCCCCCCCTTTTTTTTCATTTAAAGATATCAATGTTGAAACGGAATTATTTCCATCAAAATGAGTAAATTTTGGAACTATTGCAAGATAATTATTTATTTATGATATAATAAATCGTTTAAACAATTTTCATTTTTATTTAATGAAGAAAATCGGAAAATTCAGGCATTTTAATACAAAATCAAAGCAATAGTTATCATGAAAACGTAAGTTTAACCTATTTTACAAGTAAAAAGTTGGTTAAAAATTTTTTATTCATATTTAACAACTAAAAGTGGAAACGTTCACAATATGATTACCTTACAAAATCAAAATAATACTTATCGTAAAATTTGAGTTTGACATATTTTGCAAAATAATTTTTCTAGCTTTTTCATTTGCAAATACTCGTATATCTATTATATCATCATAACTCAATGTTTTTGAAATATGTTTTCAGTTTCTTTGCAATCATATATTTGAACTGCATTCATATCGCATAAATTCTCAAATGCTTTCGTCGCTTGATATTTAAAATTCTATTTCACACGCAAATTCAGGAGCATTTAAGTCGATATTATATTTCAAAGCCAAGTCAGCCGAGCCTTTTTTAGGTGAACTAACGGCAAAAATTGTAATGCATGTGTATTTAAAGAACTAAAATTGCTTTCGACCCCTTGTAAAAGTGTAAATCTGTCATTGTATTACATCTAATACTTCAGAAACATCTTTTTTTTTTTTAACAGTATAGTTTCATTCATTGAAAATGAATCATCAGAAACCTTCTTTTGTATATTATACCGTTTAAAAGGTTCACAAGCAACCTGTCTCGTAATCTGTGTTACAAAGTTTGAGGGATAATAAATGATGTCGTTGTGATAATAAAAACGTTTACAGTTTCCAAATTACAGCATACCTAAGGAGACATTCAAGACAAAATTTTATGATGCGCTATGGATATATATTTTCAAAATTCAGTTAAAATTTATTTAAAAAGAGGAAAATATTTTCTTGCTTTCTGCCATATTGTCAATATTAAAGAATAAAGTGCACAACATATGTGTAAGTATATATATATACATATATGGAGTATAAATGAAGAAGTCTTAAACCAACACCGAATTATGTGCTGTTATAAGGTATTTCTCCCACCTTCTTAGTGGTCTGCACGCTAGGCGCGTATTCCAGAGTTCCGTGGTTCGATTCCCGGCGAAGGTGTTGCTCATTTTTCATCTTTCCTGCTTCCAAAAAATCATAATGTCTCTAGAGTGGCGCCCGAGCTAAAAGGGTAGTGGATGGTGATTCTCCACGCCCAGGATTTGGCGACAGGGTCCCCTACAACCCCAGTCGCCCTTTAAAAGGGGGAGTATATAAGGTATTTCTCCCGTCTTCTTAGCGTGCCTTCGTGGTGTAGTGGTCTGTACTCTGGGCGCATATTTCAGTGGTACGTGGTTCGATTCCCGGCGAAGGTTTTGCTCATTTTTCAAGTCTTCTGCTTCCAAAAAAATCCTAATGTCTCTACACTGTGAGCTGCAATAACTGGAGGCAATATATTGAAAAATTAAAATTATTTAGATCCAATACATATTCACGCTGAAGTGGACTTGGAAACTATAAAAAATAAAAATTTAAATAAAAATTTTTATATTTTGTATTTTCAAAATTTTTTAGCAAAATGAATGGGAACAAATTTATATATATACAGACAGCATACAGACAATACTGAAACATTTTGCAAACTCCCGAACTGATATTATGTAGATCTAACAACAAACGCAATAAACAAATTTTAAAAGTCTTACGCTTGTTTCTATCTGCATAGGAATACGATCTATACAACTGTGAATTCTAGGGATTTGGTCTGGTTTCATAATGCATGGAAATTTTAATCCGCCCCCTGGAAATTCGCTCAAGGAACTGTAATGGAACCACACCGCATTTTTATATTTATCCCTATAGAAACTCACGAGCCGGCTATCCTGCCCAATATGGAGAGCTGGTTAAGTGTGAACTTTCGCCGTTGCTTTAATTACTAAGAGCGGTTAAACAAATTTGGTTGATTAGTCACGTGGTTCTGTATATAAGCACACAGTGCCAAAAGAGAAGCCTATTCGGTCTCTCACTCTTTTCCTTCAAGAACAATTGTGCATATGAGCTCATTCTGTTGTGGTGTTTTAGAGTTGTTTAGGTACTTTTCCGTTTCGCCGGCGCAAATCTCGCCAAGCAGACTTTATTGGCGACAACATACAGTATACACATAAAAAATATTAAAAAAATATTAGTTCTAAGAATTCTTTTAAAAAAAGAAGGCATAAACATTTTAATATCGCTTACGCTTTATAAAAAGCCAATAAATAAAGACAATAAATTTGTAAAAAGACATTAATTTAAGAATTTAATATGCTCTCATGGTTCAACATCCTGATTCGCCGGTTCATATCACGTGACCCCAAGCAATCTCATCTCACGTAAACTACTCTACAAAAATCTAATGCTCTCAGTAATTAACTACATACATTTCAAGTTAAATCTTAATTTGGAACACAAGTTTAAATGCAAGAAATATTTCAATTCGTACGAATAGCTTACTCAGAAATTATGTAAAACTGCAGTGCTTTACTTCGCTAATGCATTCTCATTAGAATGGATGAATTTAATCCTTTTCTATATTTTCGGCTTCGGATAAGCGCTGTGATTGCATCCCAATTGACTTAATTACCGAAAATGGCCTTAGACATAAACTGAACTATCTGATAAAAATTCTATGTATTCTATATGCCAGTATTGTAAGAAACAACCAGTCTGATAAGAAAAAGCTGCGACTTGTTTTGAAAATGATTCGTAAAAGGTCACCAGCGAGAATATTCAGTTTGCCATCAGTTGTACCATTATTGGGGACTTAATCGCTTGCGCCGGCAAAACGGAAAAGTACCATTGTTTAACTGCTGGACCTAGTAGAACTGTAAAGCGAATTCTCTAAGTTCTGCTGGGTCAGAGGAACAGAGGAAGATTTAAAATATGCAACAGAGGAAGGGTTAAAATATCCTTTAATTTTTAACTCCAATATATTCACAAATGGCCCTGCTTGGGCGTACAAATAGCCAGAACTTACAGCTTTAACTTAAGAGTAGAAAACATAAAACTAAACTAACTCTAAATTAACTAATCAGCCGAAAATGCTCAGAGAGATTTAAAGCGTAGTTCGCTTTTTGGTTAATATCCCCAACGTAGATTGACAGCAACCAATATGCACGGCCGTACAATAGCCAACTTAACTAGTATCGAACCAACGTGGCCAAAAGTCAGTACACGCTCTGTCTGAAGCAGCTCAGACCTCCTCTTGAATAGTAATTTCTACCCGACTTCGCATAAAGCGTGAAACTGAAAAAAGGTAGGAAAGCCTGGGTAAGAAAATGAAACGTAAAGGAAGGGCTGTTTCTAAAAACAAGACTAGCTGTTAGAAAAATAAAATAAACCCCACACTGTACCTCTATGTCTCTAAAACTATAAGCACCATATGCATAGCTGATATACAATTGAAACGCATTCGTGGCCCCTATAAAACTGCTTTAGAGGCCGCATGCGGTCCATAGGCAGCCTGTTGGGGTCCACACTGGTATATAGTTTCTAGCTGATATGAAAAACCGCAAATATACCAGCTCGAATGGAATAATTAATTTCATCATGAACTGAACGTATCGCACACCTTTTGAAGAAATGTTTAAAAAAGACGTATTATTTTGCATTAACTACAAGGAAGGGATAATTTTGAAACACAATTTTGTAAGAAACAATTAAGTATAAAATGAATAAGCTTTTGAAAATGCTCTATTTATTAATGCAAGCATGGCAAGGAAAACTGAATGTATGCAATAGACTGCAGTTAAAACTACTATTCTGTTGAACTTTAAATATATTTTTAAGTATCTGACGGTAACTAAATTTGAAAATTTTCCAACAACATTTTCCTAACTAGTATGTATACCTTGTCTTAATAATTTAATTAATAATTTGTCTTAATAATTCAATTAATTAATAATTTAATTAATTGTCTTAATAATTTAAGTAATTTGAGGAGGCATGACCGAGTATGTTTTCGTTATGATGTGGCATTTTGAACTAAATTATTATTTTTAGAGGCTTCAACCAAAAATAAAATTTAATAGCTTTTATTATAACTCAGCAACTTAAGTTTTCGCAGTAGGTGAATTCACCAGGTGTCGTATTTTTCGAAAAAATTTTAAATCCATATGGAAGAATTTCTTAACGCCTCCTTTCTATATGACCCTATAACTTGTGTTATAAGTTATTTTCTACCTCCCTTCTGCTTGCTTTCGTGGTGTAACGGTAACACACTCGGCGCGTATTCGAGAGGTCCAGGTTCGAGTCCCGGCTAGAACATTGCTCGATTTTCATGTCTCATGCTTCAAAATAACCTAATGTCTCTACAGTGTTTTCCAAAAATAATCCTTAGACTTTATTAACTCATTTTTCACTATCCAAGCAAAATCGCAGTCAGTGCACATATTTGCACAGAAAAGAAAATATCTATTTACCGTAAAATTTCTGGAAAAATTCGCATTTCCCATTCATCAGTATTGAAGAATTTATGACACAAGATAGAAAATGCTTTAATTTAATTCATAAAACATTCAAGCAGAACATTTTTCTTTGTTATACTTATAGCAATAAAAACTGTGCTTCCGTTAATTTGAAAATAAAATTTTGATATAATGATCTATAATATACTTCTGTACATGCGCAATCAACTCACTTTTAGGTTTTTAAAATATATAATTTAAGATTTGCTTCAAAACTAACTAAAAGTAGTAAATAAATGAAAAAGCTATACTTTTTATTTGCTAATAAAAAGAAATACTTTTAACTGTTCGAAAATAAAAGCGTTTTATTTTATTTTATGCATTTCTAAAAATAAAATAAATAAATAATAGGAACTTTTATAAATTTTTACTATTTTATGTGCGTTACTCTTGCACCTCCCCTAAATTCTAATTATTAATTCTTCTGAAAGATCTAGGAAAGAAGGAATAATCAGACTTTGAGTAAAATATTAAAGTTTACTTTAAAAAGGCATTTGTTTTTATCGTACCTTCAAAACATCTTGACATCTGGGCCGTAAGTCTAAAAGACGAATGCTTGCCACTAATCCATAAGGTGCTGTGATTGTTAACGTTCTGTTGGACGTGTCGTACGAAACTTTTTCATGGGATTTCAAAATTCCAGATGATTTTTTCCCAGAACTTGCGCTCGGTAATGTAATTACATTGCCAGCAGTGTTCATGTAATCTATGAATATAAGAAAATAATAAATGAAAGATACGAAAAATAAAACTGTAATCGTACCTTAGACTTTCGAGTAATTAAGTAATCCAAAGTAGCGAGGATTTGATTAGATTCGAGCATTTAAAGAAAATTATTTTTTACTGCGTAAGCGCGAAATGCATCAAAGATTTTCGGTATTCTCGTAACAAATGGCGAAAGTCGTCATAGTTTCATTTGTCTGGGTAATAACACAAATAATACTATTGCAAGAATTAATCAAACGATTAATGCCCACCAGCGGCCGAGCGGTAAAGTCGCTGAACACTGGTAGTTCGGTCCGAGGTTCGAATCTCGCGAACGGGCTTGCTGCATGGGCGTTTTCGTGGTTTTCCCCATGTGTAACGTGTATACGAGCCAGTTTCCCTTAGAAAGTCCTCCACGAAGGCATCCCTCCTCTTAGGCAGATAGCCCTCGCGGCTTTGCCATACTCACACACACACACACACACGTAACAAATGGTTTACCATCCGTCTGCTGATCTATGATCCATGGTCAGAACCAACGTAACTGATAACTTTACCGTATGCATATTTAACAAGTGCACATCTGTGTAGCCACCGAGGGAGTGGCTTCTAGGATGAACCAATGAGCATCCAGTAATATTTCTGTCATGTCACATGACCTTTCGCGTGCTTTAAGATTTAAGCAAGATGGTTGAAAATATTCTGCCACGCAATTTTCTGTACTATAATTAATTAAAGTATCGTCGATTACTTATGAAACTTTTCATTGCGAAGTTTGACTAATACATGTTGGATACTTCGCAAAAATATCGATGTGAAATATTACTTAATAAGTGGTAAATAAGATGAAGAAAGAAATACGTGATAAATATCTGAGCTCAAATGCAATCTTTACATAAAACTATGCGGATGAGAAAAATTTTTACACCAATTATAAATGTAAATAGAAGTCAGCACTTTTTTATTGCAGTCTATATGAAACAGATGTTCTATAATAATAACCAATGCAGAATTTTAATGGTAACAATGGATATAATCAGATTATATGTATTCTGAATCTTACACTTTAAAAATCAAAGGAATGCAAACACTGAAATAAGAAAACACTAGCTTCATGTAACACTTTTCAGTCATTCTCAGCTCAATTAAAAAAATATACACTTGAATTCTCTTAGTCCACACAATATGCCGTGAACATCAATCCTAATATTATGTGTGATAAAAACTGCGAAAGTGAAATGTCAGCGATTAATTAAACTCAGAAAATGAAAGCACTACGAGATTTTCTACTATTACGCCATATATTTATAACTGCGAAACAAATGCAAATTAAAACGTAAACAATATACGCTCACATACACGAAGATTTAGCGTCACAAGAGCAATAGCAGCTCATTGGTCCATTTTCGAAACCCCTCTCTCAGTGGCTACGTTGATGTGCACTTGTGAAATATGCTTACCGTATTAAACTAAATCGTACGAAAGCCCCAGTATATAAATAAATACAAAGAAGTTATGCCAACTTTAGCATGAAATTTATTATATTCTCGGATTATTACATTTAATTATATACAACATTACGAGAAGAATGCTTTGATGTTGTCCTAAAGAAAGACTGTCATATTCCTCGATGGATGTCATTGCACTTCAAACACAATAAAAACGCAATTCAAGTGATTCTATATGGCATCTGTTAATTGAAGCAGCCCTATTTCGCGTTTATCAGTAGTCATCATTTTACTACTACAAATAGATATGAAATAACACTGATAGCCAGTCCTATATTTCCTTCGGACCAACACTGTCCTGATGCCTCTCAAGATGGCTGGAAATTTTCCTTGTGGTTTATAGATAATCATCACAATTTAGCAAGGTGAAGTGGCAGCATCGTAGGGATTACTACACCTCTCATATTTCACACAATTATCTGCTATGACCCCATAGGCATTCTATCCTGAGTGTTGGCACCTTAGCAAAATCAAGGAAAATCATCTCATGATGTACCTTCAGGTGGCTGAATCATCATGATTTATACTAATAACCAAAGTAAATACAGGATAGGTCACTTACTATTATAGATATGACCCAGTAGGTCACCTATTTGCAATAATACCTTTCTTTCTTTCAGAATTGGATATGTAGGTTTCTTATACAAAAATTCCAAATTCGTTCAAATTCAGGAATATATTGCCTATATGGTGAGCCGTATGGCAGTTATTTTCTGGAACTTTAATAAGAAATTTTCCTCAAATTGTCATTTTTAAATTTATTGGACACACCTTTGCTATTAATGAACTAATCTGTTGCTATGCAAATAAGAAAAAATACGCCCTTGATGAGCGACGGAAAAAAGTGCTTGAGCATACAAATATGTGCTTGATATTAAAATAAGCAAACACGTTGCATTAAGAAAATGGCAGTTTTGGAAAAAATCTTTATCATTCAGTTAGTCTCAGGAAGTAGCTGGAATTTAGCTCACTTTATTGTCAGTACCTTTCTAAATTTACACAACATGCCCCTTGTAATTTTATATAAGTTGTTTTACATAACTTTTCTACAAATTTATGAACGAAAACAGTTGATATATTTCTCGCATGGGTAATTAAAATTTATTTCTTTAAATTATCGTACCTGATAGAATCTTAGCTATTTTCATTTTAAATTCAACTTCAATGCTTCCCTTAAAAGCTGTCATATTTTCTGTAAGTTTCGTTAAATATGGTTAAAAACGTTGTCTGTTATAAGCAAAAAACATGTGAAATAAATCAGAATTTTTAAAAGAAAGCTTTGCATATTTGTTAATATAACTGTTATTTTCATGAAACTGCTTATAAACATTATAAATATTATGCAATGTATTTTATGCAAGTTACAAGTCATTTCCTGGTTTCTATTATATTTTTATTATAGAGGGTGATCAAAAATAATTTTTATTAATGATTATGTTATTGATTCCTTAAACACAGTCTTGACTGAATTTTTACTGGAAAGTGTGGATTCAAGCATGTTATTTACATGATCGCAGTTACAGAATAATTCGTCAAAACATTTTTCTAGGATCTCGACAAAAGTGTAAAATCCAAAGTGTCCAGTGGCTTTTGCTTATATAATGCAGTTTAACTCTTTTATAAAAAAAATAATAGTTACTTTATGTTAGACGTGCAAATTAGTTTCATTCTTTATTGAATTGCACTATATGTACTTTTAATTCATTATCGTTTAGCGAAAATTATTCATCGTGTAGATTTTTGGGTTAAATGTTTCTTACTTTTTTGTTTTAAATATTAGAATGCTGCTCTAACGTGATATTTTATTTTATTCTTAAATTGTAATTTAGATTTATGTTTATTTTTCATTAATTAGAACTTAGCACTAACTTAGGTCTTTATTTTAAACTAAATCTGGAAAGTTTAAAAAGAGAAATCCATTTAATATTTATTTAAATAAATGTTTTAAGACATTTTAAGAGGGCTAAAATCTTTTAACAAGTGGAAAGTATTTTTTACCAAAGTCGATGCGAGAAACTTTGTTTACTGCATATTTTGAAGAATGAATGATTAATTATTAAAATAACAGGCGATGATACTAAGCTAAAATTTCTGGCATTCCAAAAACATTCCTTCTTTTAGCTCAAAAGGTAGGGAATAAGCTTTATATAAAATTGAATAATAAAATAAACGTGAATAAAAGCTTCATGCTCGTCAAACAATGTATTTACATTTTCATTTCTTAATCATCTCATTCTAATCAACATTAATTAGTTTGTTCAATACAAAGCATTCTTTCTTTGATTCCTATAAAGGAGAAGGGAGAAAAGAAAATAGAAGCCAGACACGAGATTTCGCCTTTAAACTCTTACAAGATAACTGAAAAATGAAATAAAATTGTCACTATGTATAAATTACAGCAGCCAAACACTAAAGAACCTATGAAATGATATATCATAAATGCAGATAATTCTAGCAATTAAATATTTTAACAAAAGAAAGTTTACAAAAACTGATAACGTAAGTATTTAAAAACTTACATGTTTTTAAAGATGATGCATCACAGACTGCACAAAGGAAGACGATAGAAATTATATTCCACAATACCTTCATACTGGATATTTCTAATTTAATTGCTTTTTAATTGAAAAGAAATTGACTGAATTTATTTTTTCATGTAAGAGGTAAACTGACTGACCCGCTGCCAGCTAAAACGAGGACACTGTCGGTTTGATTATTTGTTGCAACTTCGAACTGTCTATTATCTATTTAACGATAGCACTTATCTTAGTTGTTCAAGTAAAGCATAGCTGTCAACGTGTTAGGTTTCAACTAGCATTATCATCTGCAATCTGATTTTTTACAGAAATGTGATGTTTCTAACTTTTTTGTCCAAATACACTTTTATACCAGCTTTTTAACAATTTTCTCCCGTTTGATTAGAGATTTTTAATATTAATAAAAACAATAAACGCTTTCTCTGTAATTCCATATTTGTAGCAAACTGGCACTTGTTTTGCGCAAGAATAAATAAGGCATTAAAATTAAGGGGTGTAAGTAACATTGATTTTCGTAATTTATTCTTCATATATGACAAATGCTTACAAAAATAAACACCAAAGCAAACATTCGTAAGATTCTAGCTAAGTTACTTGGAAGGTTAGATTTTAACTTGAACTGTGAAGTTAGTATTTGCTAAGTTCAACTTGTATTAGTAACAACACATAAGAAAGGTGAAAAGACCCTTTTATTTAACCCAAAAACAACATAACAGATTTTTACTTCTGGGTACTTACAGAGCTTCGCCAATGCTTTTGGAGGGAATTCAAAACAGAAAACGTAAAATTAAAACTAATCCTAAGTTGAATAATCAGCCGAAGCTGCACAGAGATTTTTAAACGTGTAGTTGGCGACGCTTGATACTTTGATACTATTGTTATTATTCTGGTATACAGCGGGTAATTCCTGTCCCTGCTCTTCCCAGATTCCTGAGTGAATCCCGAATTGGGCCTGATATCTGAGGAAGTCCGTAAATAGTATTTTCCAGATGAGGTGGGAAAAACTTTGAAGCCCATTGCTTCCTGCAATAAAATGCCAAGACTGGACGGACAATTTGAAAATGCACAATTTGAAATTATAACAAACATGGAATATTTTTATTCAAAACTGAAACATACACTATTCTTTTCCTTTTATATATCCACTTATTGTCGTCTACAAATTGCCTTTCTAAATGAACAAGCTGGCTACTGGCATTTGTTTGGATTGTAGCGCTTACTGTTCCTTTATTGTATTCACAGACTTCCGTTACAGAATGTTTCACGCGCAGTTTATTCACAAACATTTCTTTCGGATATTTTGCCAAATCATGCTGTGCTAACTAGTACAACGTACGAGTCTTTACAGTAGTTCCTTTGAGACAAGCCTCTAATAAATAGGAAGAATTTTTGAGAGAAATACTTTTTTTATTGGGGCTCTAACTTCCGATTTATGTTTGCCTGGAACATCACCTTTGATTAGCGCTGACTGGTAAAAGCACTAAGAATATACGTCTGGGGAAACATTTCGAGTGCTAGGGTTTATTTATCTGTGAAAATGCTATGATTGATAGTAGCATATATTGCTCTTTTGATAGCATTCGCATCACCATTTTGTGGTAGAATATCTTCCTAGTGATAACTAATAAGCTTTTTTATTGTTGTTTCTTTAAAGCTAGTGTGAGCTCCTCCAGCGCCTCCAAAGTAAAGCTTTGAACAAATTAGCCTTTTGTAGCAATTCTTAAGTCTGTTTCTAATCTTTTACTAACATGGTTTACATATTTTACCTTTTCTATTTCAAAGTTAGGGCTACAAAACTTTTTTCTCACACAAATCATAAAAAGTTTTACAGTTGCCTAAAGATCGTTTCCATAAAACTAGCTCAGCTTCGATTTCCATTGAACTAGGCAATCGGTTTATATCGCGCGCTCTTTTATGCTCATGATACCGTATTTTAAATTCAGCACCTGATTCTAGAAATTCTTTTTTCACTAATGAGGGGTGATGATGCATCTTGTTCATCACTTCCAGTCAATCATGTAACCGCTCGGCCCACCAGCGGGCGAGCGGTAAAGTCGCTGAACGCTGGTAGTTCGGTCCGAGGTTCGAATCCCGCGAACGGGCTGGCTGCATGGGCGTTTTCGTGGTTTTCCCCATGTGTAACGTGTATACGAGCCAGTTTCCCTTAGAAAGTCCTCCACGAAGGCATCCCTCCCCTTAGGCAGATAGCCCTCGAGGCTTAGCCATAATCACACACACACAATCATGTATCTTCCAAAGATATCTGTAACATATCCCACTCCTGTAACTGATGTATGGTCACGAGTTGCCATGTTGTATTAAAAGTATCACTGCCATGTTCAAAATTTCTGTTGAATTTGGGAAGCTGCTTTAATATGTCCTTTTAATATTTTTTTTTTTTCTTACGAACTTTCAGAAAAATTACTTTGCGGTGTATTAGTATATGCGGAATCTAAATATTTTTTGTTTATTGTATTGTTGTTTTAAAAGGTAAGCTTTTTAATAATATAGCTTATTTTAAGGTATTTCTCCCGCCTTCTTAGCATGCCGGTGTAGTGGTCAGCACGCTTAACGCGTATTCGAGAGGTCCTTGGTTCGAAGCCCGGCGAGGCCACTGCTCATTTTTCATCTCTCCTGCTTCAAAAACAACCTAATGTCTCTACAGTGGCGCCTGAACTAAAAAGGTTGGTGGATAAGGATTCTCCTCCACCAGAATTTGGCGATTGGGATCCCTAATCTCCAGTCGCCCTTTTAAAAGGGGGAGTATGTAAGGTATTTCTCCCACCTTCTTAGCATGCCTTCGTAGTGTAGTGGTCAGCACGCTCGACGCAAATTCGAGATTTCCGGGGTTCGAATCCCAGCGAGGGCAATGATCATTTTTCATCTCTCTTACTTCAAATAATAACCTAATGTCTCTACAACATAAACATCAATAATAAATTATTTATAACACCTGTCTTTGTAATAGTTTCTTCAAATATTAATGTAATAAATGAAAACCAATTGAAACTAAAATAGGATCTGCATTAATGAATTATAGTTAATAATGTCTCTATTCTTTTGAAAAACATTGGAATAATTTGAAGATTAAATCCAGTAATCTCTTAAGATGGTTTTGCAGACGGAATAACGAAAATATGACTTAGTATTCTGATTAATATTTCTTTCCTTTTTGGGCCAGAATATAAGAGTAATGTTGATCTACCCTTCAAAAATGGGATTAGTTTGAAGCACTGTGACATGACAATGCTTAGTAATAATAATAATCGCGAAGAATCATTTTCTGGATTCTCAAATTGAATTTTTCCGAGAGATGTAGGAAGTTCAGTTACCACGTACGAGTAATGTATATGTACAACGTAACCGTACTCTAAAGGAAAATCCTAATCTGCCCCCAAAATGCTAATCGACTTCTACTGAAGTCTGAAAAGAGATGTATCAGAGGGAAAATGACAACTGAAATCGGTTAAAATTTCATTTTCAAGTAATTATTAATTTTAATGGATTGGAATATTTGAATAAGAATTATATTACATATGAATATATTATATTGAGACCCGGTGGCGCAGTGGCTAGCGCATCGCGCAGCAGCACCACAGGTCCGGGGTTCGATTCCCGGGTTGGGCAATGTCGACTCAGCCTTTCATCTCTTGATTTCCATCACTTGGGTCGATAAAATGAGTACCAAGTTCGCTTGGGGACTAAACTCTGGGGGTCCTGTGAAAAGCTGATCACTTGTTCAGGGCATATGCTTACGCACCCCGTGGCCCACGGTTAAGAAAGCAGATTTCGGGCACTGCAGGCCATTAGGGCTGTTACGCCACTGAGTTTAGTTTAGTTTACATTATATTAGTTATGAATATATTACATTATATATGAATTTATATGAATACATTTAAGAAAAATTATGAATGCGGCCGTTGGCATAAGTAGGCGTTTTCACATGAATCTCCACTAGCAAAAGTCAAGTAGCGATGTCGTTTTACTTTTTACTCATAAAATAACGCGGAGTTTTTTTTTTACTCATAAAACAACGCGGAGTAAAACAACACGGAGTTTAACAACGCGGAGTTCGAATCCTGGCTAGAGTTTCGCTGATTCTTCATGTTTCCCAGCTTCAAAAAATTTTTGACTGACCACAACAGAATAAACGATGGTTCTAGTTCTTGTGTACTGGATAAAATTATCGGGTATCATAAAGCAAACTCGAAAAAGGTTTCATATTTTGCACATACCTGATGTGGGGAAAGCATTGCTTTCTTAGTTCAAAGACATAAGGGCCTGAAACTATACTTTTAGTAGCGCTCTTTAGAAAGATAAGGCCAGAATCTTTTCAACTAAATTTCTACATCTTATTTCAAGTCTAGCAGCGGATGGATTAAACTTAGGAAGTCTAATAGCAGATACGATAGCGTTTGTCATCAGCTGATGGAGGAGTCCACTTTTATTTCCAAAGCGATTTGTTGTTGAATGGATGATCAAGTGAAAACAACTGTTCCAAACTATGAAGCATGAGATATATATCGTACATAAAGATCCGATTATTTTTCTGAATGACGTCAGATAAAAATTTCACTTTGAAAAGCGAGAAACGTCATATTAGACATAATAATGAAGAGCACCTGATACTTCTTCTATTCCTTAAAAGGTATGGCCCACGTAAAGAAAAGACATTATGATTAATTAGTAGATTTAAGGACCTCGGATTTCAAAATTGGGGGATTCAAGAAGTTAAAATTATGCCACTAGCACCCTACTATTGAAGAAATGGGCAATGTTTAATTGATTTGCTGAAATGTAAAATACTTGGTTGAGTAAATATTACAAAAAAGTAGACAACAATAAAATATTTTTACAAATAAAAACCTATGTATTCCATTATAATTCGCTCATTAAAATTTTCCCCAAATTTTATTTATTTAAAGCAAGTTTCGGTTATAAGAAATTTCAGTTATAAGGAAACAAATCTAATTACTCTTCAATGGTCTTATGAGAATTTATTTTATGTTTAATTGGATTATAGTCAAGGAACAAGGCTGATACATTTGGAAAATTCTCTTGGTTTTAAAAAACAGTTCTAATTTCGACTAGCTAATTAAGCGAATTAAAGGACGATCTTTTTATTCCGTTTCATACAACAACTAAATTTCAGTCCAATAA